AAACACCGTATAATTCCACTTACATGAGGTCTCTAGAATAGCCAGATTGATAGAGATGAAAGGCAGTAAGTGGTTGCCCAATGATAGGAAGAGTAGAAAATAAAAAGGTTTTGTTTCTATGAGCAAACTTTCAGATGTGCTAAAGAAAAAAGTTCTAGTGATTTGCTGAACACACTTAACTATATACTTAACTGTATAGTTAACTGTACACACGTACTATACACTTAACTAATGCTAAATGGACAAGCTAGTTAGATAGTTCAGTGGGCAAAGACACTTGCAGAAACGAAAACCTGACAACATCAGTTTGATTCCTGGAAATCACACATGTTGGAAAGAGAGATCAACCACCATTGCAAAGTTGTCTGACCTCTGATCTTTACATATGTATTATGGTCTGCACACCTCCCAGTCCCCACATACACACAGTAATAATTCTTTTTAAATCAGATACTTAGTGGGAAACCAGACATGATGATACAGGCTCATAATTCTCCTGGGAGGGAAAATCAAGAGGATCAGAAGTTAAAGGTCATTTTCCAATATATAGTGAGTTCAAGGTCATTGTGGGATACTTGAGATTCTATCTTACAAAACAAAGAAAAGAGGGGAACGGAGAGGTGGCTCAGTGGTTAAGAGTACTTATTGCTCTTGCAGAAGACCCGAGTCTTATTCTCATCACCTACATGGGGGCTCACAACCATGAGTTTACTCTAGTTCCATAGAGGACGATCAGCATGCATGCATATAAAGTAAAATAAATAAAAATACCTAAAATAAAAAACAGCAAAAGTTAAGCTGGTCAACGTAATATATTCTTTTACAGAAACTGAAAAAATAATTTCAAATTGCTTTTTAAATAGGAGACTCTAAGGCAAAGTACCAGATTCTCATGACCAGCTATATCCATGGGATAATGGATGATTTTTTTTTTACTGTTTTATTTGTGGTTTGATATGTCTGCCTTCTAGCTTGCTTTTAATTTTTTTGAATTGCAATGCTAGTTGTCTATGATTCTAAAAGAAAGGGAGAGTGGTTTGTTAAAAATATAATAATTATCTTTGCATTTTTAGAGAAACATCTAAGTCTCAGGATGAAGGGAATAATTAAAGCATAAAAATAAATGTTAGAAAACAAAAAATGCAGCATTACTTGTAAACCACAGACTAAATGTCTTGGAGGAAAGAAAAAGACATAACAAGAGACTGAGGGTGATGACACAAACCCCAAACCTGTACTCCCAGAATTTGGGAAGTAAAGGATATGAGAAATCCCATAATCTTTGAGGGAACTGAAAAAAATCATTAATCTTCAAAAGGGGCGGAGGGTCTGGATTTCAAAATCGATCTGGTTCAAACTGTTAGGTTCTGAACGATCCCATGCCAACTGTTCAGAAGTTTGGAAATAAAAACATGAAAAGTTTTGCAGTTCATTTTAGAAAGCTTAAACAGAAATAGAATTTCTAGAGGTGCTGTCCTCCTGCCGATTCTGGCACAATCCTTGTGGAGCTAGTATTTAAGAAGAGGCGTTCCCCCAGTCAGTTGTCAAAATCAGTAAAGACAACGGGTAGTTAATGTACATGAAGGGCAGAATGTAAACGTGTGCTGAAAGCAATTCGGCTTTAAAAATGGTTCATCGTGTGAAGCCTGTGGAATAAGGTGTGAGGGCTTGCTGCGGGACCAGTGAGGAGGGAGGCTCACAGTGGGGGGAGGACTACTTAGGTGTCGCTTCTGTTTTGTGCCCTTGTTCTAAACTCTAAGGAGACACTGTTCAAAGTTGTGTCTGCAACTAGAGACGAACAAGCCAATCAGGATGAGTCCCCTCCTCCCGTCCCGCCTTTCCTCTCTACCGCCGCCTACTGGCGGGTCATAACCGAAAGCGGAGGCAGGCAGCCCGAAAAGAGCAAATGGGCTGGGCTAACCAAAAGACAAGAGTACTGTTCCCAGAAAAGCCAGAACACTGCAGAAAGCTGTAGATTGTGAGTTCTTTGATCAACGCTGAAAAGAACGGCAACATCTGAAACCTCTTTATAAAATTCCCCTCAAGAGGGCCTGCGAGATGCCTCTGCTAGGACCTCTCTCCTTTCATTGACTTGACCTCTCTCTTTTCACACACAACAAATAAATGTACACTTTTTAATTAAAAAATCCTCCCCAAGTGCACACAATAAATATATCAGCTGTTTAAGGATTTAGAGTCTTCATTCCTCAAAATCAAGAGCTAAGAAACTACTACTAGATTTTCATTTCAGAGTGACTTGTGGAAGCTAAGAAGATTCTGCTTCATTAATACTGCTGTATTTATTTGGTACTTTTTGTTTGGTTGTTGTTGTTAGGGCTTTTTGAGCTAAGGAAGGTCTTACCATGTAACCCAGTCTGGCCTGGAATTCCTTATGTAGGCTAGGATGGCCTATCCACTTGCCCCTGCTTCCCTAGTGTTGGGATTAAATGTCTGTCCCATCATGCCAGGCTTTGGTTTTTAAACTATTTTATTCCATTTTCAAATTTATGAACATATTCAATACCTTCCCACCTCCTTCCATTACCACCCTCTCCACCTTCCCATCTCTCCCTATCCAACTTTGAGATTATTTCTTTTAGAAAAGAAATTACTTCCCAAGGAGTCCAGTTTGTGCTAGTGCTTGGGCTTGCTATGATTTTGTCTCAGGTTTAGCTAGGAAGTTTTAAGGGCAATGTGTAGTTTTTCAATAGCTTAATTTCTCTCTCTTTTCTGTACAAAATACACGCTGGAGTAGTCTGCAAACCCTCAGAGACAGGTAGATGAACTTAAAACTAAGAGGATCTGGGACATAACCTAACCTAAGTGAAAGAGCAGAGGGCAGCTCTCAGATATGGTTCCAAGCTGAAATCAAAGGGGTGATGTTGACATCCTGCTATGGTTGGCCCTTCTGTGCTCAATGTGAAGGGCAGAGGGTCCTGCAATTTGTTAACATTTATTATGAGAACAGGCTTCTTGCATGCTAATTCACTTTTGACAAGGAGTGTATAAAATTTAAGAAAACTTAGCTACTCATTGCTCAAGCTACAAAAGTACTTTGCTCATTTATAAGGGGGAAATTTGTTTTGTTTTTTTACCTAAACATACCATGGTATGTTTTCATACAGTAACTTGCAGCAGTAAAATACAGGCGGCATGCTGTTGTTGTTGATGATAGTTGTTGATGGCTATTTTTGAGATTATTATTTTATTTTATGTATATGAGTGTTCTGCCAGCCTACAGGTGACAGAAGAGGGATTCAGAGCCCCTGGAACTGGAATTACAGATGGTTGTGAGCCACCATGTAGGTGCTGGGAACTAAACCTGGGTCCTCTGCAAAAGCAGCAAGTGCTCTTATCTGCAGACACACCTTGCCAGCCCCTAAATTACAGGTTCTAAAATCTGACATTTCCTCCCAGGAATCCAACGAGGAAAAGAACTGGTTTGCCTCACTGAATAACAAAATCTGAAACCACTCAAATGATTTAATACGGTGTTTGCCTTACTCAGCACAATATTGGCAGTATTCCTTGGATAACCACTGAAAACTCCTTTTCATAAAGTCATAAATAGTTTTCCTGGAAACCAGATAGTGAGCATGTAGCAGACCATTGTTCCTAATCTGCCTTTTATCACTGGAAAGTTTCTATTGTCCCAGTTTTTGTTATTTCTAATTTCGATATGAATTCCAAACTAGGCACACTGAATTGTTCATAAAACACTGAGAGTAAGATGGAAAAGGTGAAGACACTTGGGAAATGTTTCAAATAAATGTCAAGCTTCATGTACTTACTTTTCTTTTAGCTCGCTGTCTTATAAATAGGTCCCACAAGAAAAATCAGCCTTAAGCGTAACAACCAGGAATGCCTAAAGCCAGGCCTTTGATTAAGAAACTCTTAAAAGTCTAACCATCCTAGTTTCTGAGTGTGTGACTCAGAAACAGACTGACATTTGAATCCAAAGGACTCTGTAAAAGTATACCCGGTACATATGAATTAGTGGAAAAGAAGGAGAACAGAATACAGGGTATTAAGATGTATCCAGATCATAGGTTATCTTAGAACAGCTGGCAGGATAATTAAATCATATTTTGTGTACATATTACACATGCATGTATGCTTCCAGATGCATTTCTGTAGAACCACATATCTACATGCATATCAAAAGTATGATGACTAACATGTTCTATGTTCATAATCTGAGCTCACAATACCACAGACTCAGGCTAATATTGATTGGGGGGGTTGAACTAAGGATGAAACAATGTTAGCTCAATACAAAAGTTTTTCTTTCTATTATCAAACAGTGAGTAGAAACAAATATTACAGAATAGTAACAGCCCATCTAATGGTGCAAGTATGTTTTCTGCTCTCTTTCCTGGCTGTTACGGTCTAATAGGAAAGGTCACCAAAAGACTCTTGTGTTCAGTGTTTAGCCTGTGGTTAGAGAGAGAGCAGGGCCTACCTGGAGGAAGCAGGTCTCTACATTGTGTCACCCTCTTGGTTTCTTCTCTCTACTACCTGTCTACAGTGAGATGAACAGCCTCTGCTACTGGCTCCCACCACTGTGCTGTGATACGCTCTACTCTGCTATACACTCCGTGCTAGGATAGACCAAACCCTGTGAAATCGGGAGCTAATATAAATCTCTGCTCCCTTTAACATCTTTACGCCAGACATTCTGTCACAGTGATGAGAAAAGCTAGTATATAGTTTTCTGGAAATTAATAAAAAAAACATCTTAATGCCCCTCCCCACAAGACCTTCTGTTAACTACCTGTGATTCTGCCTGTATCCATTTTCTACCATATTATCTGAGCAATAGCAAGAACTAGCATATGTTGTAGGGTATCTGGTAGATTCTGAATATGCCCACATTTCAGCCACTTTGGCCAAGGCAATGAAGTCTGAGCCATACCATAGACGAGGTATAACATATGAGCAGCATAAAGTCACAATGTGAACTTAGCTACTGATGTTTAAGTAATCTCTCCAAATCCCAGTAGCTTAAAACATTATGAATTTATTATTGACTTGTATACAATCACACGAAGAGTTCCGCTAAACTGGGCTAGCCTTGGTGGATTGTGGTTAGCTCATGCATGGATCTAGGCTTGAAGGCAGGCTGAACTAAAATGGTTTCCTTGATATGTTGGCCAGTTAGCTGATTATTGACTGAGGTGGTGCAAATAGCCACGCAGATGGTTTTTGTCACTTGGCAGATTACTCTGGACTTGCTTGTATCTCAGCACGGTTCCAAAGGAGGTGATGGAAGTGAGTCCCTTCTGTCATATTTTCTTGGCCACAGCAATTCACAGAGCCAGACAGATTTCAGGAAAATAGATGTTCTTCCTTTATTAGACTTCAAAGTCACAAAGACTAGGGAAGTTTTGTAGTTCATCTACTGCATCAAGATTTTCTATAGAGTTTCAGTGGGATGCTAAAATGGTAACATAAAATAAAAATAAAAAAGAACTTTACTAGGCATTTCCTCTAACAGTGTTCATATTATTTATTTCACAAGGTATTTTATTTATTTTAAGTAATTTTTAACTATTTATTTTTTATGTGCATTGGGGTTTTTTGCCTGCATGTATGTCTGTGTGAGGGTATCAGATCCCCTGGAACTGGAGTAACATACAGCTGTGAGCTGTCAGGTAGGTGCTAGGAATTGAACTAAGGGTCTTCTGGAAGAGTGGCCAGTGTGCTTAACTGCTATGCCATCTTTACTGTCCCTATTTTATTTCACAATGAGGGTCTCATATGTCTCAGGCTGGCCTCAAACTCACTATATAGGCAAGGATGCCCCTGGAATACTGATATTCCTGCCTGGGGGGTTACAGGTGTGCTTCCCCATGTCTGGCTTCAAATTTTATGTAATGTCCAACCACATTTAAATAGACTTTGTCCCCTGAGAAAGCTGTATTTTTATACAGCTCACAAATTATCTCACTCCATTTTTTTTTCTGGATACTGATGGATAACTAATAGAGGCTAGCAACCTGAAATTCCCTCCAAAGTCCCCTTTGAAACAGTGAAGCCTGTGCTGTAAATAAAGCCTGCAGACTGGTGTAATTTGCCCTGCACCAAAGCATATCTCCATGAAGACTTATTAAATAACCCCATGGAAAGTTGTAAATCTAAGTGGGGAAAGTACAAATCAATAGGAAAACACAGTGGAGCATTCTCCTACCTGTGATTTTTTGCAACCTTCTGGAAGGGTGAAGATTGATGCTGCAAAAAAAATCCCCAATATGAGGCCTATAAAGATGAACTGACTTGCATTATTCTTAACAATTCATTTTATTTTGGATGTCACTAACCTCTATCTGCATTAAACATTCTTTTTTGCTTATCTGCATTAAACTTTCGTTTTTGCTTATATCACAGTATCAGCTTCCATCCTGTCTGCGCAGCAGAAGACTGTGGAAGCCAGGGAAGTGTAAGGATATGCACAACACACATTTGCTCATGAAAGAATTGTGCTCAACACAACTGACCCTCAGTTGCCATGTGAACTCTGAGGAGAACAGAACCCTCGTCTTCCTTAGAGAGTGACATGTGGGGGAAATGTTCCAGATTGCTGGATAATGGGTTTTCATGGTGCATGTTGCATGAATTTGGTGCAGAGAAAAAATATCAGTCTTACATTAAAAAAAATACAATCTACATACCACAATATTCACTGGCTGGAGAGATGGTTCAGTGGGAGAAGTACTTGCCATACAAGCATGTGGAACTTAGTTCAAATCTCCTGAACCCATATGACAGCTATGTGCAGTGACATGTCTGTAACCCCAGTGCTCCTATATAAAGAGATAGGAGGTAAAGACAACACCAGCCCTGGAAGGTCTCTGGCCAGCTAGCCTAGCGTATGCAGCCATACAACAAAGAAGAGATCCCGACACAAACAAAATCAAAGACCTTAACATATGCACCATGGAAAATGCATGCCTGTCCCACTCCACACACAAAATAAATAAATAAAATAACTCCATAGAATATTTACAATAGCAACACAATAGTCAACACCATCTGTACCAGGCTTTTTCTTCGGGGACACCAGCCAGCTCCCAAATCATAACACAGAGACTTATTAGTTTTGAATCCCCAGCCTTAGGTTAGCTCTTTTATGATTAGCTCTTATTATAACTTAACCGTTTTGTCTTCATTCTGTGTTTTGCCTCAGGGCTTATTACCTTTCTTACTTCTGCATATCTTACTTTCCCTGCTTCTCCTGTCTGTCTGGTGTCTGCCTGGCTTCTTGCCCTGGATGTGTCTCGCTTCGTCTCCTCCTTTCTTGTTCTTCTTCCTTCTTCTTTCTTTTGGAGCCTAGATTTTTCCTCCTATTTATTCTGTCTCCTTGCCAGCCCTGCTTTTTCTTTCGCTCTGCCCAGCTATTGACTGTTCAGCTATATTAGACTAACTAGGTGCCTTAGGCAGGTAAGGTGAAAGAGATGCAATGTATGTTGTTTACATAATTAAACACACATCCTTATATTGTTAAACAAATACAGTATAAACAAAAGTAACATACCTTTACACAGTTAAAGTAATATTCTGCAGCATAAACAAATGTAACACATCTTTGCCTAGTTAAAATAATATTCTGCAACTGATTCCAGAATTTTCCATCATTCTAAACGATCTGTATACCTCTTACTCTGTTTTCCTCCCTTCTTACCCACTAACAACCACTAACACACCTGTTCTGGATATTTCATATAACTGGAATTGTACAGTATAACTCGTGGCCTTTTGATTTTGGATGAGTGAAAGGAGCAGGAGCCCAATGTCACCAGTTCTTCGTGTATCCTTGTTCTTTCCTCACCCACCTGGGGACAAGTTTCAACCTAGTAACCCCCTGCCACAGAAGCTTGGCACAACTCAGTTAGGAGTGCTGAGCTAGGGGCAGACATGGGCTGAAGTAAAGGTGCGTCTCCTGAAGAAGCTGATCAAGCACAAATGCTCAACCCCTTTCCAGCTATTTCTTTCCCCGAAGCAGTCCCCATTGCTCCTCCTCTCCTCCTCAGAAATCTCTGCCATCCCACTGAGCCATAGCTCCCTAGATTCTTCTCCAAGCTCTATCCTCTGTAGACATCAGTTAACAAAAGGAAACATCCGTAGGGTTGGAGAGTTAGGTCAGCAGTTAAGAACACTTGCTGCTCTTGATTCCGGCTTGGATTCCCAGCACCCAAATGGTAGCTCACAACCATCTGCAACTTCGTTCTAGGAGAAGCTGATACCATCTTCTGGCTTCCTCAGGCACCAGGCACAAATGTGATATATATACACACATACATATATGTGAAATCACACACACACCAAGTAAAATGAATACATCTAAAATTTAAAATAAACAAAAGGAAGTATCAAGGCTGGGGAGATGCCTCAGTGAATAACGCACTTATCTCACAAGTATGAAGGCGCAAGTTCAGATCTCCAGAAGCCATATAAAGCAGACATAGTAGCCTGTGTCTCTAATCCTAGCACTGGGAGATGAGAAGTGGAGACAGGGGACTTAATGAAAGCTTAACTGTCACCTAGCCTAGCATATAAGAGCATCAAATATGAGTTCTGTCTCAAGGGGCAAGGCATAGGCCAACACTAGCAGTTGTCCTTTGACCACCACATGCACCATGGCATGTGGGCACTTGCACCCTTACATGTGAATACACACACACACACACACACACACACACACACACACACACACACTTTAAAAAAAGAACATGGGCCTATGGAGGGCCACATCCCACCCCACAGTTCTCCTCAAAGTCTTCCAAGTTCTCCAAGGAGAGAATCATACTATATATATTGCTAGCCCAGGAAAAGATCAAACTTTAAAGTACAGCATCAAGTGAATTCATTTTACTTTCCCAGCATGAGAAAACTGAGAAATTATAAGCTAAGCTGCAGTAAGCTGGGGACTGTGCATTCTGACATCTCATGGAAGATGCACCTCTGTATTTTCTTTGTCCTGATTCATACAGTAAATAGCATTCCCCGCTGTTTCCATGCTGCTATGTGGTCAGCTCCTACTGGAAACAAAGTAGAGAACGATTTAAAGAAAATCCCATTGCATCAAACCCAGAAGTAATATAGGAGCTCAGCTCTAGAGAGTTTTTGTGGAAGATTGCAGAGCCTGTCTGTCGTGCAGGTTCCTGTCATCCTTGACTCTGTGGCATGGAATAAAGCATGCCTATCATTGGCCTATATGGGAAGGATGCTATGATTGGCAAGTTTTGAAGCTAATGATTTGGCAGGTTGACCAATGACCCAGAATGGCTGTGGAGGGCAGTGATGAAGCCTAAAGTGCTGAAATAGCTCCTCACTCTTAAACCACAGCTTGAGAATGAAGTTTAAGCCCAAAGTTGCTGACATCATCATTTTTTTAGCTTTGGTGCCAGTGATTGAGCTCAGGTCCTCAAGCTTGCTAGGCGAGTGCCCTATCACAGAGCTGAAGCCACAACCCTACCTCAATTTATAATAAAAAGTTCAAACCTCCATCTGCAGTCAACAAAGATTCAGAAAACACTGACAGAATTAGCGACTCTGAGGTTGTTGAAGGATAATGTGAACTCTAACCAAAAGACTGCTATGGGGATGAAGAGAGAGAATATCATGACATATGGAAAAAAAATCAGAAGATAGTAAGGGAGTGTGACATGTAGATGTCTGGAGCAAGGACATTCATGCTAATAGGACAGTCAAGACTGTCCCCAAGGCAGAAGCGTACATGGCTTTCCTGGAGGAAAAGCATGGAGGTCTATGTGACTGGAGCACAGTAAAGTCAGAGGCAATGAGTCAGCCAGTAAGTCTCAACGTATGAATGAATGTTGCTACTCTATAGAACTATAACTACTTTTAAGTATTAATGTGGATCTTGGGAATGCTGTCTATTAACCGATAATACATTAATTGGCATTCAGAACAGTTTGTCGGTAACTGTTAAGTTCAGAAAAACTAATAAAATGATAAAAATTACTTCAATAAACATTTCTGGGCCCATTTAGATAAATCAAATTGATTGTTGATGGACAGAAATCAGGAGCCATGAGGCTGGAAATAGGCCTCGGCAGATAGGATATCTGTCTAGTAAGCACAGAGTTCTGGTTTTGACCCCCAGCACCACAGTAACCAGGCATGGTGATACATACCTACAGTCCAAGCACTTAGGAGGATTAGAAGTTCTAGGTCATCTTCATGTGCATAGTAAGTTGGAGGCTAGCCTGAGCTACACAATACCAACTCAAAAACAAACAAACCAACAAAATACCCCAGAACTACGATGATATCAGCTGTTTTAAAGTATTTCCTAACACAACTTGAGTTCTACCTACTGGACTTGAGGCATCTATTTTCCAACTTCTTAAATGTACCAATAACAACCCTGTTCATCTAGCACTTATGTCACAGTTCTTACTAAACCCCATGTTACAAACGCTTTGGATGCAGAGATATTCTGGTACTTTCTAGGAAGGCAAATATCAATAAAATTCTTGAATATATAGACTGGTGAGAAAGCCCAGGGGGTAACTGCTATTGCTACCAGTCCTGATGACCTAAATTCAATGACTGGAGTACACATGAGGGAAAGAGAACAGACTCCCAAAAGTTATCCTGTGATCTTGTGCCCACCCACGTGCGCACATGCGTTAGCGCGCGCGTGCGCGCACACACACACGTACTCATGCACAAACACAATAAGTAAGTATAAAATAGTAAAAATAAAATATTCTCTCTTCTCAGTCACAAATAAATGTAAAATATTAAAAAAGAAAAAAACCTCAGCAGTGTGGTTAAATCCTAGACAAATGTAATCTATTTCTTAACTGTGCAAACAATAAAGCCTAAACTTCTTTTTAAAAAGGCCTATTTCTTTAAGAGGAGAATGAAGCAAATGGCCAAGCAGATGGCAGTTTCAAACAGTAAGAACCCTGGAGGACACATGAGAAGGATGAAGAAGATGGAGAAATTGAAAAGACTGCAGAAATTGACCGAATTTATCCTTCAGCCTCCCCACTACCCTCTGACCAACAGACTTCACTTTTGCGTCTTTTCCCGCTTGAAACAATTGAGGTAACATACTTTTAGCATCAGGGCAGATCTTAGTTTGAATTCTATTTTGGCTCCTAATTAAGCTGTTTCCTTGATTATGTAACATATATCTTCCTTATGCAGCTGTCCTGAAAGAAAAACAAATAGCATGCAGCAAGTATGTGCACAAGGCCATCTACATCTGAATCTCATTCCCAGTGTCATCTCGGATAGCCTACATCCTCCCACGGCATTTGATAGCTGCCCTGTTCAAGATGTGGGCTGAGGACCAACAGTGTCAGCAAACCTGGCATTCCTTACAAGTATAGACTCTAGGGCCCCGCTGCCTTCCTTGCTGAGGCTGAACTCATATTGTAACACAACCACAAAGTGTGAGCATCATTGCTATAAGGTTCCTCGGGTGGACTGCCTTTTTTCCCCTCCCTCTCTTCCTCCCTCCCTCATTTTTACCTCTCCTTTCTTTTCCATGGTATGCACATTTGTGCATGTGTGTATAAAGTCAAATGTTGGTGCCAGGTGTCTTCCTGAATTCCTGTCCATCGTATTCTAGGGCAAGCTTGCCCTATGGTTACGGACACCTGCCATGCACTACACTACACTCACCTTTCCTAGGAGTGTCAGGGGATCTGAACTGACACAGTTATGTTTGCACAAAAGAAACTTTATTGACTGAACCATCTCCTCATCCCCTTCTCTTTCTCCTGCTCATCGTTTTCCTCACCTTGTGATAAAAGATGTAACCGGTGGGTTCTCCACACCTGAAACATGTTGGTCACATGTGCAATCTGGATAAAATTATCTGGAACAACCTCCCAGTTGATACCGTGTCACTGTTCTGAGGGAGTGAGGCTGGGTAGGCCACATATCCCAGACTTTGCAGGCAATTCACTCAAAGAGGCTGCACACACATGTACACCAGGTAGTTCACTCAAAGAGGCTGCACACACATGTACACCAGGTAATTCACTCAAAGAGGCTGCACACACATGTACACCAGGCAATTCACTCAAAGAGGCTGCACACACATGTACACCAGGTAGTTCACTCAAAGAGGCTGCACACACATGTACACCAGGCAGTTCACTCAAAGAGGCTGCACACACATGTACACCAGGCAGTTCACTCAAAGAGGCTGCACACACATGTACACCAGGCAATTCACTCAAAGAGGCTGCACACACATGTACACCAGGCAATTCACTCAAAGAGGCTGCACACACATGTACACCAGGTAATTCACTCAAAGAGGCTGCACACACATGTACACCAGGCAATTCACTCAAAGAGGCTGCACACACATGTACACCAGGCAATTCACTCAAAGAGGCTGCACACACATGTACACCAGGCAGTTCACTCAAAGAGGCTGCACACACATGTACACCAGGCAGTTCACTCAAAGAGGCTGCACACACATGTACACCAGGTAATTCACTCAAAGAGGCTGCACACACATGTACACCAGGCAATTCACTCAAAGAGGCTGCACACACATGTACACCAGGCAATTCACTCAAAGAGGCTGCACACACATGTACACCAGGCAGTTCACTCAAAGAGGCTGCACACACATGTACACCAGGCAATTCACTCAAAGAGGCTGCACACACATGTACACCAGGTAGTTCACTCAAAGAGGCTGCACACACATGTACACCAGGCAATTCACTCAAAGAGGCTGCACACACATGTACACCAGGTAGTTCACTCAAAGAGGCTGCACACACATGTACACCAGGTAATTCACTCAAAGAGGCTGCACACACATGTACACCAGGCAGTTCACTCAAAGAGGCTGCACACACATGTACACCAGGTAATTCACTCAAAGAGGCTGCACACACATGTACACCAGGCAATTCACTCAAAGAGGCTGCACACACATGTACACCAGGTAATTCACTCAAAGAGGCTGCACACACATGTACACCAGGTAGTTCACTCAAAGAGGCTGCACACACATGTACACCAGGTAATTCACTCAAAGAGGCTGCACACACATGTACACCAGGCAATTCACTCAAAGAGGCTGCACACACATGTACACCAGGTAGTTCACTCAAAGAGGCTGCACACACATGTACACCAGGCAGTTCACTCAAAGAGGCTGCACACACATGTACACCAGGTAATTCACTCAAAGAGGCTGCACACACATGTACACCAGGCAGTTCACTCAAAGAGGCTGCACACACATGTACACCAGATAATTCACTCAAAGAGGCTGCACACACATGTACACCAGGCAGTTCACTCAAAGAGGCTGCACACACATGTACACCAGGCAATTCACTCAAAGAGGCTGCACACACATGTACACCAGGTAATTCACTCAAAGAGGCTGCACACACATGTACACCAGGTAGTTCACTCAAAGAGGCTGCACACACATGTACACCAGGCAATTCACTCAAAGAGGCTGCACACACATGTACACCAGGCAATTCACTCAAAGAGGCTGCACACACATGTACACCAGGTAGTTCACTCAAAGAGGCTGCACACACATGTACACCAGGTAGTTCACTCAAAGAGGCTGCACACACATGTACACCAGGTAATTCACTCAAAGAGGCTGCACACACATGTACACCAGGCAATTCACTCAAAGAGGCTGCACACACATGTACACCAGGCAATTCACTCAAAGAGGCTGCACACACATGTACACCAGGTAATTCACTCAAAGAGGCTGCACACACATGTACACCAGGTAGTTCACTCAAAGAGGCTGCACACACATGTACACCAGGCAGTTCACTCAAAGAGGCTGCACACACATGTACACCAGGCAGTTCACTCAAAGAGGCTGCACACACATGTACACCAGGCAGTTCACTCAAAGAGGCTGCACACACATGTACACCAGGCAATTCACTCAAAGAGGCTGCACACACATGTACACCAGGCAGTTCACTCAAAGAGGCTGCACACACATGTACACCAGGCAGTTCACTCAAAGAGGCTGCACACACATGTACACCAGATAATTCACTCAAAGAGGCTGCACACACATGTACACCAGGTAATTCACTCAAAGAGGCTGCACACACATGTACACCAGGTAGTTCACTCAAAGAGGCTGCACACACATGTACACCAGGCAATTCACTCAAAGAGGCTGCACACACATGTACACCAGGCAATTCACTCAAAGAGGCTGCACACACATGTACACCAGGCAATTCACTCAAAGAGGCTGCACACACATGTACACCAGGTAATTCACTCAAAGAGGCTGCACACACATGTACACCAGGTAGTTCACTCAAAGAGGCTGCACACACATGTACACCAGGTAGTTCACTCAAAGAGGCTGCACACACATGTACACCAGGCAGTTCACTCAAAGAGGCTGCACACACATGTACACCAGGCAGTTCACTCAAAGAGGCTGCACACACATGTACACCAGGTAATTCACTCAAAGAGGCTGCACACACATGTACACCAGGCAAGCACTCTACCACCGACTGAATGAATTGAATTCCCCATAGCCCACTTTAAAAAAAGTTACATACTCTAACTTGCAGTCTGTCTCTCACTGCCCTCATATTGCTTCCCCCCTCCCTTGAGACTGAGGTTTATGTAGACCAGGCTGTCTTGAACTCACGCCGCAGCTGAAGATAACCTTCAACTCCCGATCCTCCATTCTTCGCCTCCTGAATGCTTAGATTATAAACATGTGTCACCACACCTTTTTTTGTAACTTGACAATTGCATGCCTGAGTATAACGGATTCTAATTATCCCTACCACACCCGTTCTCTTATTCACCTCCCATCCCTGTCACATACATACCCGCACCAATTTCCTTCCGATTCCTAACCTTTGAGTTTCTTTGGGGGCCCTCTTAATTGAATCAGGGCCATCTGTGTGACGATTGGATCAGAAGTAAGCACTGGAGACTGGCACAGTCAAAAGTGGACTCACAACTGAGCACTGACGTCCCCCTCCCTGGATCTACCGGTGGCAAAGAGTTCAGCAGTGAAGGCAGTGAGCACACTGCAGGCGCACAAGCATTAAGCCAGCACCACATAAAAGAAAGAGGAATCCTATTGTATTAGGCTTCCCTGGCTCACTACTGTAACAAAACGCCTGGCAAAAGCAGCTTAAGGGAGGACGAGTTTATTTTGGTTTACAGTTTGAAGAGATATAGTCCATCGTGGTGGGGGAAGTCATAGCAGCAAGGCTCCCAGTCAGGAAGTGGAGAGAGATGAAATTTGGTGTGCCACTCTCTCCTCCTTATTCAGTCTGAGACCCTAACTCATGAAATGGTGCCAGGCACCATTTAGAGTGGGTCTTTCCTCGTCAGTTAAACTTCTTTGGAAGCACCTTCATAAAGACATATCCACAGGCGTGTTTCCAGGGTAATTCTGAATCCATCCAAGTTGACAATCGAGATTAACCACCGCTAACCTATCCCTGGCCGACCTGACACCCAAGCACATCACTACATCATAGCATTCCACCTCTGGCCCCTAAACTCTCATTTTCACCTCATAATTCAAAATGCATTTAGTCCTTCTCTAAAACTGCCCATAGTCTTTAACAGTCCCAGCAGTGATAACAGTCCAAAGTCTTATCTGAGACTCAAGGCAATCTTTTACTTGTAAACTTCTAGACAAGCAACTTACAAAGTTTCAATATACAATGGCAATGAACGGACATCCCCACCCCCAAATGGAAGGATGGGGAGAACAACAAGGAAACATGAGACCAAAGAAAGACCAACAGCCAGTAGGGCAAACACCAAACCCTGCAGCTCTATGTCCAGCATCTGGAGCTCATGATGGAATCACATGGGCTTCAAAGGGCTTTGGTAACTCCAGCTCTGCCATTGACTGCACACACAGCTTCTGCCTCGGACTGACTCCACTCCATGCTTGCAGCTTCCCTCCGGTGGTGCCCACAGTGCTGACACCTCCACCATCCTGCACTCAACACCGAAGCTTACACTTCACATTCACATGTTCACAAGCACGGCTTCTCAGAGCTCACTTCCTGAGACTCCAACCCTGCTACAGATTACCTGGTCTCAGTGCTTCCTGGAACTCTAGTGCAAGTCTCCATGACAACTTCAGTCTTGCATCTTTTACACCTGTGTGCCAGTCCATGTGGGTGACATCACACAGTTCTGCTGTGACCTGGCCTTCATATATGAGTATATTGGTGAAAGGCTTCCCTGGCTAACTGCTTTCCAGAAATAGAAAACCCCTTCAGCAATATTCTTAGTTTCAGCTTTCTCCTTTCAAATTAAGTCATATTTTCCCAAAATGTTTATTGGGTGGCATCTTGCTTTCGGAGTACCTTCCCTAATGTCTAATACAGAGCACAAGGTTTCTCTCTAATGCTGCTAATCTCTTAACAATTCCAGCTTCTTTCTCTGCATCTGCCTTGCCTGCACCTATAAACTCATTCCTTCCCACACCAAGCTGGCACATCTGTCTTCTCCTGCCCCATTTGTGTTTTCCCTCACCTGAGACGTGGTTGACAGCAGCAGTCAGGAACCATGACAGAGCCCAATTGCTAACCTATCCTCAGATTTCTTCCACCAAGCAAATGGGCCCATTACTTTACAATCTAGTCTCACTCAAGTTTCCAGGACATGGCGCTGATGTCATGGATTGGCACCAGCTTCTTTGCCAGATGATCACACAAATGGCCTCTAGCTCAATTCTCAATAGTCTCTTTTCCTCTCCAAAACCCCATGAGCCAGATCTCCACTGTCTGTCCATGCTCGTCTTGGCATTTGAGTTTTTGAAAACAGCACCAGAATAGCCCATTACACTGCTTACAGCACTCTAAGACTATTCTGTTGTCAGCTACTTTTGTGCTTGCTGCATCAAAGGGCCTGAGAAAAGGGTTTACTGTGGCTAACAGTTTGATGGTCCAGTCCATCACGGCAGAGAAGGCATGGCAGCAGGAAGCCTCTGGAAATGCATATGTATTACACATGT